TTGTCTCCAGCATGCTACAGAGACTGTAGCAGAGCAGGAATATGCCCCAGCCAAGCAGTGTGCAGATCTGGCCTTGATTTTGGGCTGCCTTGCTTTAAGGCATGTGGTTCTGTATCTTTTTTGTTACAGGAAGATGTTTTTTAGAGCCTTTGGTCTTGGAACCGCAGAGATGTGAAAGCATCCACCCGCTCACCCATGCTGGCTCCAAGATGAGCTGTGCCCAACCCAAAGGGAGCAGGCACATCTGCGTGCACAGTGTGCTGTTCCAAAGAGGGTTGTGATGTTACCTGCTAAACCTGGAAGGAACAGTAGTTAGGAGAGCACTGGCGTTTTTGGAATGTCACTTGGTATCACGCTTGCCTGGCATTTGGGCTGTACTGTGTCTGACATCATGCAAACTCTCAAGCTTTTCCCATGATGAGCGCATTACTAATGTCTGGCTCCTCTCTGGTTTATTTCTTGTTTAATCTTTCAGTTCAGCCCATGCTGAGGCCTTTGCATCAGTGGGAGCATTAAGTCAAGTCTTTTTTCTGCTATCCTCTCTCTGCTTCTTTTGAATCATTTCCCTGGTGATACATTTGATGGCACTTGGCCCCTGCGGTCTCAGACCATTTTGCACAACTTCATCTTCCTTGTTTCTCTTCTCAACCAATCCCACACAGGACCATGGGACTGGCATTAAGATGGGTCTGTTTCTCATAGTATTATTGGGACTCTTGGTCAGTCTCTGTCCTCATAGAGCACCACAGCCTTATGCTCTATGGACTAGTCAATGTGAGTTACTTACGCCTTGATCAGGGAAGCTATTACTGCTTAGAATATCACTTCCAAAGTTACCCCAGTATAATTAAGATATCTCAAATGCTTTCTTGTCATTGGGCCTATTAGGTCTCCTGTTGTGAGGTGGACAGCAGTTGCTTTCCAAGATGCCATCATGACAAACGAGCTGTGCATTGTGAGGGAGGGATGGATGTGCATCTCTGCTTGGAAGGGATTTAATTCACTGACAGAATTTATCCAGATTCATGGGCTCCTCTGATTGCAAAAACATTTAAACCCATATCATCCACACAGAAGTACCAGAGACTTTCATAACAACTGTGAAGATTTCTGGTCAACTTTTGAGTCTGCACAGCTCTGTAAGAACCAGAGTGAAATGAATTAGCATGAGGACAACTGCACAGTTATAAATTGCTGCAATTTCAGCAACCGTGTTGTTCTTTGTGGCTTTTGGTGTTTGTACAACAGCTTGCCTCTCTGCATGAAATGAATCCATTTGAAGGTATTTAATGATGAGGTTTCTTTTGCTTTATTTAATTTGTTTTTCCCTCTCCTCGGAGAGATCTCCAAAGAGGTCTTCTTGGAAGATGGATCCATTGAAAGGAAGAGAAAATACAGATGTCTGAGCCCAGAGGACCACTCCTGACTCTTTTTATAAAAAAGGAAAAAATCATTTTTGCCTTGGGCAGCCTGATCTGGTGATTGGGTAACCCTGTCCATGGCAGGGGGCTGGAGCTCAATGACCTTTAAGATCCCTTCCAACCTAAGTCATTCTGTGATCCTTTGTCCCATCCACCATCCTGTCCCACCAACTGGCCAGCTAGCTGGAAGATAGGCTCTAAAAGCAGAGCTTTTCCAGTATATCTGCAGAAGGAGAGGTCTTGTTGGGTATTCTTCCTATAGCTAATAAGCCAAAGTGTGAATTAGCAATTTAAAATCAGTGCTTCAGTTGACAGGTGCTGAGATAGATACACCAGAGAAGCACCATTGAGATGGATGCTCAGGGTGGGCACCCATGCATTACACTGCCAGCTATTCTCATTTACCGTATAGATTTTCTTTTGTTTGAATATTGTTGTTTAACATTTTGCTTGGTCCTCAAAGGCTTTTGCAGATCTCATGACGATTCAGATTCACTTCATTACTACTAGAAATTAGTGTTTGCATTGTAGTGATTTGCACTCCAGTACTGAGAATCCTGATCATGCTCTACAGGCACAGAAAATATGTGCAAAACCCTCTTTCTAAAACTTCCAGTGCAGTCTGTTCTCTTCCAGAGGTTTTTTGGTTTTTGGTTTTTTTTTTTTTACATTTATTTGCAATGCAAAAGAAGATTAAAATGAAACAAAACACTGCATAATGGTTTTGTTTCAGGAGGGTGGTTCTGAAACCACTTAAAAACTGGGGGTAGCATGTTATTCAGCTGAGTCTGTTTTGTCTGAATACAGAGATCATCTTGTTGCTTTTGGACTTCAGAAACCTGTAATCCAGATTCAAAGGTTGACAGGGTCCCCATTCTATTTAGGCCTCCAAAAGCTGTCAGGTTCAAGTCTTAGAGAGGACAAAGTATTTCTCTCAGAGGTGTTGGCAGGCAGCAAGATCTGTGAATCCGGCATTGCTGAGATGTCTCGAATTGGGCATCTGGAAAATGGAAGCTTCTGAAATCTGTTGTCAACTTTAAAAATGCTGACTATTTTTCTTCCCTCCTGCCAGCTTTGAAACTTTGAACCGCAGTTGCAGGTTTTGTTGTTGTTTTTTTTTTTGTTTTTTTTTTTTTTTTTGTCACATTTTGTCACATTTGTCATTCCTTAGTAATGAAGCTCTGGCATTAAAAATGTGGCTGACAACGTTGTGGGCAGGAGCCAAAATGAAGTTCAGTTTTGCACCCTGCTCTGATGCACTCAGTGCATTTTGCATAAGTCTGAATGAAGAACTCCAGTCCCATTCATTATGCCAATTACTGTCTTCTCACTGATGCCAACATTAAGCTTGTTTATTGTTGCAATTTAGGTGAACAGGAACTGATGAGGTGTGTGCAGCATGAGTGTTGAGAGTGAAAGCACCGTGTAAAAACCATTTGTTCTCAGGCTATTCCTTCATCTTAAATAATATAAAGGTGAAAAATCTCCTGCAAATCATACAGAATTGGTGCTGCAAAAGATTTAGAGCAGTTCCAGACTGGCTTAAATGTTATTTTGTAGATGCTTGTGACCAGCACTTTAAAGTTTGCTGACTTTAAATACATCTAAATGCACTTGCAAGGTCATTTAGACATATAAATATGTGGTTTGAGTTACATTAGGAGAACTGGCTTTTGGGGAAGGAGCACAGTTCAGGAAGTAAGATCTGCTGGGCATGAATTCTACCATTTGCCATAGCCAGCTGTGTGGATTGCATAAGGTATTTAGGCTATGATTTGAATCTTAGACTGAATTCAGGTGTGCCAAGCACCCAAACAAGAGGCATGCTCAAGCATGAAGCGTTTTTCCTCTTTCTGTGGCAATGTAAGTGAAGGTGAGGTCTGCAGGAGCCTTGCAAGGATCAGTGTGAGTATTGCCAGCCTTGGCTTGTGCTGGATTATGATTTTTTTTAATTGAAACTCATAATCATTTCAAGGTCTCTGGAATGTGTTTGTGGAAGGAAATAGCTACTTTGGGGGGATATTTGCTGCTAAACAGCTTGGGATTGTGTTTTACTTCTCCCCCAAAGGCAGTGAGTGTTTGCTAGGTGCTCATGGATTGAATACCACTGATGAACAGCTGTGTGCTGGGTGCACACATACAGAACTGAGCTCCATCAGCTCGGTATCAAATCTCAGCTCAGGTTTGTGCCCAGGCTGTGATCCATGTGATCTAAAGGAACAATTTTTGTGGGAGTGTTGGGGCTTCCTGAGGAGTTGAGTTACTTGAAACACTTCTGTATCTACTCATCGTTCACATGGAGTCCCTAACCTCAGACTGTGTATTGCTGGAGCACTGACATCTTTGGGAAGAGCTAAGTCACTGCATTTCTAAACTGTTCAGGAATCCTGTCTTGATTTGTGTGCAGGGTGCTTTAATTTGGGTTGGTCTTGGTTGACTAACACAGCATTTCTCTAAAGTGTTAAGCAAAGACTCAGTTTCTTCTGAGCAAAACGCAAGGGCTGCTGTAATGTAATTATTTGGGAGCTGTGCAGGTTGATGTACAGCCCTTCCTGGACTCCACTATGGGGTAGTATTCTTTAAACCAGTTGTTTGTTCAGAACTAATGTCATAATTTTCAAATGGTTGTGATTTTTCCCTTCTGTGGGTGTAGGTATGATTAACATATCTATGTCACTATTGGTTGTATAAACATGTAAATAAATTTTTAGGGGGGAGATCAAAATGTTTCTGTTGTAATTTAATTCCCATTTACAGACAGGTGGAATTAAAGTCTGACGCCGGTGTTTGCAGATGTACAGTGTGTTCAGAGAAACATCTGAATCTCTGAAGCTGAGATTTGCTGAATTGCTTTTGAGTGCTCGATCTTCCACTGATTTCAACAATAATTGACCCAAAATTTGAGTCCCAGAGGCAGCATTTATATGTTTTTAGTTAAACCTTACATAACTCTGTAGACACAGATCCTGAAGTAGCACACTTACAGCATTTCGCTCAAAAATGACTGAAAATATTTTTAAAATGAAATAGAAGTTCATGGTTAATAATTTAAGGCTTCTTACAAGCGTGTGGACTCGATGACTGATGTGCAGTAATCTCAGGCTTGAGTTTTCTGCTTTCAGGGGGAAAGAGCCTATCAAGGCCTGTCAAGGAACTGAAAAGTTTGAACAGATTTTTTTTTTCTCTCAGATCACCATTAAAAATAAAAAGAGACCTTATAAAGCATTTCTAAGCCTACATAGGAAGCAGGAAACTAATATATAGTTATAGTAGTTATGCAAGCTGTGGCCAGATTGGACTGGGAGACTTGGAGATGCTAAGACACACTGTCGTAAATCCCTGTCGCTGCAGCAGAGCACGACCTTCTCATATTTGAGAGGTGTAACCACATGGCTGTGTCTGGGTTGCTCAAGCAGCTTGGACAATGAACCATCTTTTTACCTAATCAGGATTGCAACTGTACCTGAAACTTCAGAGCTGATAAGTCTCTCTAAACGATAAGTCTCCCTAAAATGTGTACAAAAAGTCCATTGCAATCTGCTTCTCTGAGCGTTTCTTTTCTTCCCTCATCCTCTGCAGCAATCAAAGAGAAATATGTGGACTGGACAGAGTTTCTTATCCATGATCTGACCGGCGCCCGAACTGCACCTGCAAATTTACTGGAAGGCGTATGTATTAGATTGCAGTTTCTCTCTGATACTGTCTCATGGTGTGCATGCTGCAGCAGTGCTTGTGCTCCCCATGTGTAGGGCTGTGCGCTTGGAGTATCTGTGTGTCCAACAGCTGTGCAAAAGTTAGGAGCGACGTTGCCTTGATTCTGCTGCTCTGCTTCTGACCGAGTCGTGGGGTATTTTATTTGGCTTTAGGTTGAAAGGTGCTTAGAAATTTGGATATTCATATACCAGGAGGTGAAGGAGAATGCCTGCAGATTGGAGATGGGTGTTGGTAGGTTAATGGGGAGCATTGCCAGATTTATGTGTATATAGAATTACAGAATCACCAAAGTTGGAATAGAGTTGCAGGATCATCCAGTCCAGTCATCCATGTAGGGGTAGCTCCCTGATGGACAGCAGTCAGGTTTGGCAGGGAGGTTGGGTGTGGTGGGCTCGCTCATTGATGACTGGATTAGAAGAAGGAGCTGTTGTGTTAGATGCATCCATATAGCAAAGAACCTGGTTTGTGTAGCACGTTTGCAAGGAGACTTGCACATGGGACATGCTTGAGATCTTAGTATTTCACAGCTTCAGCTTCAGATGGGGGGAACACAGCTCATCCTACTTTCCATTGGGATGGAACCATCTCTGGTGCATGCCAGTGCAATTAGGAATTTCTCTGTTCCCATTCAAGGTCAGGATGGAGGGGGCTTTTTATAACCTGATTGAGCTGTAGGTGCTCCTGCTCATTGCAGGACTAGATGGCCCTTAAGAGTCCCTTCCAACTCAATTCTGTGATTTTAGAGGCAGCAAAAGTAGGAGATCCCAGGCAGAAATGCAGAGAGAACTCACTGCCTGGGCTTGAAACAGTTTCTCACCCTCATCTGGTGTTGTATGTGATATATGTGCTTAGTGCTGTCTGTGTCGTGCAATGTATGTTACCCCCCTGTCGACAGATTTGCTGTTTGTGAGTGCTGCAGATTGTTCTTATACTGTTAAATCAATATGCAGTGATAAATTTTTTTTAACATGTTAGCTATGCATATAAAGAGCTCTTGAATTATGGTAAATGTTAATATTTCAAGCAAGCCAATTATTAATCTTAGCCATTGGGTTGTCAGGAGTAAGCGACAGCCCTTTGGCTTCGAATTTAGCACACGAATATGGGAAGCAATATTCACATTTTTGTGGCCAGGGTTTTGTAGTAATAAGGTAAATCATTACACCACCATTTGATGTTAAAGAATGTTTTGTTGGAATGAAGCAGTGTGTGTGAGAGAAAAAAAAAAAAAAAAGAATTTAAGTAGATTTCTATTATGTTATTACATTTTAAGAGTGCATTTTGCCATGAAATAATATTTGAAGAGGTTGTGCAGGTGCCTGTAGCTTGTACAGTAGAGGAGTTGCTTATAATGGTGGATACATTATTTTGAGAAATACGTGTTAATCATAGGTCTGGTTAAAAATGTACATGTGATAAGGTTTTAGTCAATTTAAATCTTTTTCTTTTCTTACCAAATTCTCATTTGGATGCCTGGATTTTTGGCTTAAAGGAGGTGTAGTCAAATTTGGGTATGCTTCAAAATTTGAATATTTTTAAAAGTCAATATGGGAGAGCTTTTTTACAAAAGGAAAGTAAGGCTTATTCCTCCTCTTATTTTTTTTCTAGCCATCCATAGAAGGAACTGACCTGGGCTGACACTGATTTGCAGAATTAATATTAAAAAAAAAAAAAAAAAGTGAAAGGTACATACTGTTGAATTAAGAAGAAGTGGAACAATCACATGAGAAGAAAGATTGTGATGTTTTTTTTCATATATTTTGCCTGTGCTTACCATTTCCATTGAGGAGCAATGCTTACAACTTTTGGAGTGATTGTTACTGTTCTTCTTAAAACCCTAGAAGTGAGAAATTGAGTAAGAATTGGAACTTGCTTTAAAAAAAAATAGAAAGAAAAATGAAAAGCTCTAACCCTCACATTTGCAAGAAAAAGCCTGACAACACCGAGTTGCTCACAATCACAAAAGAAAATCACTGAGCCCCAGAGGTATTGTTCTGAAAAATACCACACATTTGTTTTAATGCCTGCAGTTGGCAACTTTGAAGGTGTAAAGTTAAACACATACGAATGGTTGCAAAATCACCATAGACATTTCCATCCATGACAGTGGGAATAATTTGCTGTATGTTCTGGTAGGAGCAAGGCAAATTGTTTTGATGGGAAAGATCAGTGCCCAGAAGGCAATTTCAGTGTCATGCCCAAAGTAGTTGCCTTTTAGATAAACAGCAGGGTCTGATCCTGTGGTCGGTTCCTATCAGCTGCTATCAGTGAGAATTTGGTTTGAAATCTTTCAGTATAACTGGGCTCTGCATCGTTCAGGAGCATCCTAAGTGGATATGCCTTATGGGCTGTTTCACCTCTGACTATTCTTTTGTTGTTGTTGTTGTTGATGATGTTGGTTGAGAAATTAGCACAACTGTTGTTTTCTGTTTTACTTCTGAATTTGCACTTGGAAGACATTGGGTAAAATAGAAGAAGAACAGACTGTTTGCTGATCGCTTGGATGATGGTGTGAAAAACAAAAATAATCTTCTGCTGTCATCTGTTTCCTTGAGAAGTCTTCAAATAAAGTTTAAAATAAGGAGTTTTGCTTCTATTCAAACAGCCTCTGCGAGGAAAAAACCCTGTAGACCTCATTACAGTTGATTCCTTAATAGAGCTGCAGGATTCCCAGAATCCCTTTCAGTACTGGATAGTTAGTGTGGTTGAAAATGTTGGAGGAAGATTACGCCTTCGCTATGTGGGATTGGAGGAGACTGAATCCTATGACCAGTGGTTGTTTTACTTGGATTGCAGACTTCGACCAGTCGGTTGGTGTCAAGAGAATAAATACAGAATGGACCCACCTGCAGGTAAAAAAAAAAAAAAACCTTCTAAAAATGCTGTTTTCTTTTGTGATATTATTTATGATTATGATATGTTTTAAGATTCTTGTGCAACCCATTTCTTTTCCAGCATTCACATTGCTTGGTCAGCAGGTTTTAACTGGAACACAGATTGCAAGCAAGAGTCATCTGATTTGGGTTCAAAGTAGTGGGTTAGGTAAAGTGTATTAAATGTATTTAATAAACTGAGCTTGGTGTTGCTCTCTCCTGCAAGGAAATTGTGTGCAGGAAGAGTAGCTTTGTGTATCAAGAGGCAGAGCTGATGGAGGTGGTCCAAGGATGTGCCTGCTTGCCCATCCCTTTGCAGTAGTGTTTTGGTGTCCAGGTCTTCTTGGTCTTTCTTTAGGCATCCTAGTGTAGGACTCACTAGAATTCTATTTACTGTTCTCCAAATCAAGATTTAGGTGACATCTCTCAGCATAGTTTATGCTCCATTTGCTTTCCCTTCACCCAAGAACCTCTTGCCAGTCTGTTTTCTATGGCCATGCACATTTCTCTTGGATAGCAGTGTACTTCCATGGAATTTCTTTGGGCTAGAAAAAGTGTTCTGGAATATTATGGTCTCTTCATTGTAGGTCTTTCACATCCAGATGTAACATAGCTGTTCAGAATCTAAGTAAGACCTGCCTTGTGTGTAACCAACTCAGAAGATGTAATGCATGCCTGAGTAAGCCCACTTGCTAAAGAAATAGTCTTTTTATTAAGTGGTTGATGGGTCTTGATGATCTAAAAGACCACTGTTTTTGTCCTGAGTTATCTCCAAGGGAGCAAAATTTTTGCAAGTGTATCAGACCAGATCAAATAGCAGGAGATTGCAACTTGAAAGAACGTCTTTGAAGTTGAGTTTAGTCTTCAAACAAGTTAGGAGGGAGTAAGATAGGTACTGCAGTAAAGCTATCTGAGGTCAGAAAATGGAATTCTCAATCCCAAGGGCAGGAGAAGTCCAAGGGACAGTCAGGCACAAGCAGGCTAGGCTGTGAGGCTGGCCAGTGGTAGGGTTTGGTGGTCAAATGGAATCAGCAAAGGGAACAGGATTAAACTAGTGGTGCAAGCAGTGCAAGGCTGTAGGTGTAGGAAAAAAGTAGAGATCCTTACCACTAAGGATTGGTAAGCATCATAAGGCTCTGGGGTCACAGCACAGCAGGGCTCAGGACTGTTTGCAGCCTTCTGGAGAAGTGATTGCAGAGACATTAACTGGGTATGGAGATGTGATTCCATCCAGCCATTACTCTGTTACACTGGAGGAAGACTGGAAAGGTGGATTTTCTCCACCACACTAATATTATTAATCAAAACTTTGTGAAAACTTCTAAAAATTGGGATTCTCTCTACTCAGGGCATGTGACTTCTAAGTGGTCTGTCTTCAGTTGGCTGAGTTGGTCAAGTTGGTTGATTTGAGATCTCTTGAAATTATTATCTGGTTAAACATAACAGTCTGTTTGTTCTGCTTTGGGGCTGGAAGAATTCAGCCCCTGTATTTTTCTTAAAGCTGTGGTTTATGCTTGGGGGCCACAAAGCTGTTTGCCAATTCTTATGCAGTAATGCCTGCATTTGCTAGCTGTCTGCATCGCCAAGCTGAGTTCACAACAACCACCATTTCCCTTGAGGTGTTTGCTTTCTGGCACAGCAGGCCTACACCACTTCTTCCTGTGTAGATGGGCAAATTGTCCAGGTCTGTGCTTCATTCTTCTTGTGCAATAGATGAAGTTTTTCCATGGGAATTAATGGTGGAAGAAAGATAGCTAGCTCTCCTTTGGATGAATGTTCCTGAGGTGCCTTTTACCCCTTGCAATTTATTCAGAGTAGTTACCATGATATGTGCTGTTTTACAGATCTGCATGGGTCTAACTTGGGATCTTGAATGCTTTTTGGAAGTGTGTGTTTTCCTTCTTAGAGAGGTGGGAATCGATATTTTCTATCACTTCTAAATTAGATGTGAATGTTGGAGGGCATGAATATCACACACTTGGTTATTTCCCAGAGCATCTGTGTTACAGAGGAACACCTTTTCATTGACCACCTCTGAAACCTCTTGGCCTGTATAGGTTTGGTTAATCAATACAGAAGTGGTCTAAACTGCATTTGTGCTTCTTTGTCCATTCCATCTTCCTTTTCCTTTTATCTGTTTGTGTTTCCTTCTATACTGATTTCTCTCTTTAGTTTTTTTCCTCCCAATTGTCTTATCTTTGAAACTTTTTTTTTTGTTATTGGACTCGATTTGATAAAATTATGTATTTTCCTCCTCCACTCTCCTAGATTTGACTGCTTTTTACATTTCTTTCATGTCTTCGTTTAGAACCTGTTTCCCCTCCTTGGCATTTGTCTGGCCATTCCCCTTTTAGTGAGCATTGTTTTTATTGAGTTTAGTGATATATATCCTCTTGCTGATGTTGAATTAAAAAAAATTACACATCCTAGGACATTGTCTTGCTGGAGTTTGTTGAGAAAAGACCCGTTGGGTATGAGTCTTTCCATTTTCTTTTTGAATCTTGACATCCTGAAGCCTTACCCTAGGGATCTTTCTTTAACCCATCATTGCCCTTCTGGGTTCTGCATTCCATGGAGTAACCAGTCAGAAATGGGAATCTAATGCATCTTGAGAGGCAGGAATGCTGGTTGTTCAACTTCTGACATCGTGGATAAAATTGACCATTTGATGCCCACCTGACATCGGCATATTCATAAAGTACAGTGGATGAATAAAGCTTGTTATGAGACTTGTGATATAGGAAGCAGACAGGAAGCAGTAGTGAGTTGTCAGAATGAGGTGCTGGGCAGCAGAGAGCTTTGAAGACACTTGGGGTGAAGATACTAAATGATAGTCTGTCACAGAATGTGATTTCCTAAGGATGCCAAACCAGGAGATTGTGCCAGGAATTTGTCCCTACCTGCTTCTTTCTGTTCTGCTGACTTCTGTTGTAAATGAGATTTAGTTTGGGAAAGACCTTTGGTGTCACCAGTATATACTGTCATAGGAAAGAGAGACAATTTGTGGGTAATATGTTGTGTTTTTTACATGTTAGTTTAGATTCATTTGGCGTTGTATGGGCATTGAAATGATGCTTCAGCGTCATCTGTTGCTTTTTCTTTACGATCAGCGGAGAGAAGAGGATGTCTAAATCATTCTGTCATAGGCCAGATGAAGTGACATCTTCATAAGCCTGTTTTCTTCCACTCAGAGGGTTGAGAGGAGTGAACACAGAGCTGGTTTCTAACTTTTGAAGCCTGTTGAGAGGACTGCTTGACTGATAAAAGGAGCAGCCTTAGACTCTTTATAAAAGCTACTATGAATATCCTGTGAAGAGATGCTGAGAACTTCCAAACCAGGCTGTGTGCCTAATTTGTATTAAATGAGGATGTTCAGTTGCACATCTTCTCTGCAGGTTATTACAGTGCTTTACCAACCCCTGACTTGGAAGCCGTTTATGCACCATTAGCTTTATTTCCCAACGTGTCTGGGTGGTGGTTTTGCTATGCTGATCTGCCTCTGCACCTGGCAAGTTGACTGTCACATTGCACAGCAGTCTGAGGTCAGTCTTTCAAGATGCAGGACATTCTCCTCTAAAGGAGATCCCATTGTTCTGAATGTCTACAGCATCTCGAGTGGAGAGGTCTCTTTCTTGAAGCCGGTCGCATCCTAGCACCAACTTAATGTATAAGAATGTGCAGAGAGAGTTCTTAGGAAATGGCATCCCTGCTGTGTTCCCAGTTGGGAACTTTTCAGCAGCTTTATGTGTCCTGTTGGCTCTTTAACTGTGGTAAGGATCTGAATCCAAGGTAGCTTACTCCTTGCTACCTCGAATTGGCAGAGGCAGCTTGACACAGAGCCACGGATAGTCTTTGCCTCAACTGTTTATGCGGGCAGAGGTAGTCTCATTTTATGTTACTTTCTATTAAAAGACAAATTGGCAATGATTTTAATTGCTCACTCCTTGTTAACCTAAATACAGATTGACACAGTACACTTGGTTCAATTACCTGCAACACTATCACTTAAACAAAATACCTTATGCTCTTTTAACCATGCGATTTAGTGTCCATAAACTTGCCAGCATAAGCTAACTGCCACTGTCTAATGAAATGTGCATGTAATACTGCTTGCTGGTTATTGAAACAATTGAGGTTGTATTAATCTTTCAAGGCTTGTTGACACCAAAGCAGTTGCTGCTTGTTTTCACTGCTGTTGCGTGGAGTCACTCCCAAAGGCCACATTAGAATTGTAGAATCACAAAATCATTAAGGTTGGAAAAGACCACTAAGATCATCTAGTCCAACCATCCCTCCCTCAGTGGAAGGACCTCAGTCCCTCAGTGCTACAGCTCCCCTTTTCTTGAACATGTGCAGGAATGGTAACTCCATCACCTCCCCAAACAGCCTGTTCCAGTGCCTCACCACTCTTTCTGAGAAGAAATTTTTCCAAATATCCAACCTAAACTTCCCCTGACACAACTTGAGGCCATTCCCTTTCATCCTACAACTGGTTATCTGGGAGCCAAGGCCAACCCCCACCTCACCAAAACCTCCTTTCAGACAGTTGTAGAGAGTGATAAGGTCTTCCCTGGGCCTCCTCTTCTCCAGACTGAACAATCCCAGTTCCTTCAGCTGCTCACTGTAAGATTTATGCTCCAGACCTTGCACAGCATTGTTGCCCTTCTTTCTCTCCTATGTTCCACTGCCATTATGATAGCAAATGAAGTTCTGTTTTCAGCCTGCTCTGTTTGGCAGGCGTCTGTGTGGGTTTTCTGAAACTCAGAATTTATATTGGTAGAAGCAACAGGTTGGGGTGAAATCACGATTTATTGACTATTTCTGGCTTCTGTTTTTTTTTGGCATCAATTCAGCCGAAAAGGGAGAAACAAAGTGAATCATTTCCCTTCCTCTATTTCAGCCATTCAAGTCTTCTGCAAGTGGGTGAGGTATTGGAGCAGGCTGCCCAGTGGGGTGGTAGAGTCACCATTCCTGGAGGTATTTGAGAAAAAAGCAGATGTGGCACTGAATGGCATGGTCTGCAGTGGTCACAGACATGGGTTAATGGTTGGACTAGATGATCTTAGTGGTCTTTCCAACCTCAACACTTCTGTGATTCTAAGTCAGGGGAGAACTGGTGCAGTAGGCACTACGAAATAGTGAACAGTTTGATGAAGAGCTCGTTTCTTAACACTTGTGACCGCCACACATGCTGTAAACAAAGACTTGAAATGTATGTTCCCATTAATAACCAGGCAGTTGAGGAATTCGCACTACAGCCCTGAAAGGTTAACCTTTCCCTTTAAGTGTGTTTAAATTCGTATGCATACCCGTGATGTCTGTCTGAAGTAGCAAAGCTTGATATAGTGGAAGTATAAATACATCCTCTTCCAGTGAGTGATTCTGCAAATCCTGTTTTGATAAGGTCTTAAATCTATTGAAATCAGAGCATAAAATTCTCTTGTACTGTCAGTGCTAGGTGACAGTGCCTGCCAATTCCTTCTTTTATATATGTTTCTTTTATTTCCTCCTTCAGAATTGTAAGATACCACAGTAAATCTTTGGTAGCTTTGCAAATATATATGGTTCCTAGATATACAAAATTTAAATGCAAATTACAGCAACTTGAACTATGGTGGAAGTGAGTGAAGCGCCACTGACAAAAGCAAATCTTTGCACTGTTCAGTCTTTATCAAGGTTCAGGTTTACTGTTAAGTAAATGTTCATTTCCATTTTAGTAATTGTTACTAATCTCTCTACTTATCTTGTCTCTTGGTTATGTATGGGATAGCAATATGTTTTCCAGGACAGAAGTAAATCCAATATAATATTCTTTGTCATAGTATTGTTTCCTATGTTTTTTTTCCCCTTTGGTGATTCATAGGCATTTCACTGCTCTGAACTGTAAAAGGCTTGCTAATATAATGATTTAATAATATTAAACCAATTTAAAGAAACCCACTGAAAGCAGTGTGAATCTGCACAGAGACATTGCCTAGAAGTGTAATGATTGGAATTCTTTAGTGTAAGTCTGTGAATTGATGTGATGCTTAGTCATGTACCAGAGATAGGTTTGTGTAGATACCCAGCTGAAATGTTCTTTCCCACATCTTCCCTCCTGCAAAAAACTTCTGCAATAGTGAATTTTCAGTGAACAGAAGAATTGTTAAGGGTATTTCTGTTTTTGTGGAAATATAAATAATATTAACCCGAGGCTTCTCAAACTGAAAAATATTTGGTATCTTTGTTATTTTCAAATAATGAGATAATGTAGTTCTTTTTTCTTCAACAGAAAATGAAATATGTGTATTTTCTTGGGTTTTACTCCAGGATATAGAACACATTCTTCCCTAAATGTGCCTTTGCTCCTTGCTTTTGTTGAATTTATCCACACTGTACAGCTTGGGATATACGTGCTGCTCATTACAATTGAACCTTTCATTTTTATGACACAGTAACTTAAGACTTTCAGAAATCTTTGATTCCCAGACATTTACTTCTTGGGCTTGTATTTTTTTTAAATTGTTTTTTGTGTTTGTTTTTTTTTGTTGTTGTTGTTGTGATTGCTTTAGATATCTATTCTCTGAAGACGATATCTGAGTGGAAATGCGCCCTGGAAAAATCCCTTAATGATGCAGCAAATTTTCCTCTTCCAATGGAAGTATTCAAGGTAAAGAGTGTACATTTTCCTTCAGTTATTTGATGGAGTAAATTCTCACCTACAGAACACTATTTTTCATCATAATCACCACCATTAGCTATGCGTTTTTCCCAGTGATGAACAGCAGCCTGCATGCCACGTTCAGAAAAACTTGCACCAGTGGAGATAACCCACTGTTTCACACCCACCACCTCACTGTGCACACATCCGCAGTTTGGTTTCCATAGATGTTCAGCAAGGGTTGATGAATGTCAATGGGTGCAATTTTTTCTGCATAGAGGTGTTCACTTCTACCCCTTTGCTTCATGTGCACTTCCATGTCAGATGCCATTTTGTCAGACTGCCCCTCTCCTGCCATCTGTCACATGAAAACAAAATGTAATGGAATACTGGTTGGAAAGTTGAACCTCTTCTGCTGTACTGCTGGCATCCACTTCTGTTGTAATGGACCAACGTAATAAAATAGGAGGCATTACTTTCTGAGCAGCCCTTGTACATTGCTATCAAAGACCATAAGTGGGATGTTTGTATAAAATGAAGTTTTGTGTTTTTCTGCTCTCAGACCTGATTTCTTGCTGTCGCTGTTTTATAGATAATGTAGGGGTGTAATCAACACTGATTTTTCCAACATCAGCATTTCTTCAACACCATTTCTAATGTATTTAATTATGCAGACCTGAGTTCTCACAACCTGTGACATCACAGTGCTATGATTATGAAAGTACTTGTAAACTCAGCTTTCTGTGAGCCCTGTGCTCAAATTTTCATCTGATTCTAAGCTGCAAAGCAGAGAAACCTCCTCCAGGGACCTGTAGTGGAAGTAGGAGATAATTTTCTCCTGTGTCATTTTTTCTTCACTCAATCTGATTTTTAATAGTTAGAGATGTGCTTCAGCCCTGAGGCACCAGCTTTAATATCCCATCCAAATCCACACTGCTGTTAATCATGGCTGCTCCAGATCATAATCCAGATTTCTATCTGTTTCTAATGTTGTAGCTTTGCAGTGGTGTGCTGGAGGAGTGTGTGGGGGGATGTGTTGTAGCATACTGCTGCACCACTGTCTCCAGTGGAGTGGACCAGATCATAGACTAATGGAATTGTTAAGGTCAGAAGAGACCACTAACATCATCTGTTCCAACTCTCAACCCATCCCCACCATGCCCAGTAACCACGTCCCTCAGTGCCACATCTGCTCTTTTCTTGAACATCTCCAGGGCCGGTGACTCCATCACCTCCCTGGGCAGCCTGTGCCAATGCTTCACCACTCCTTCTGAGAAGAAATTTTTGCTAATATCCAACCTGAAATCCACCTGATAACCACCAGATCCTCCTGGTCAACCACAGTGGTTACCACTGCTCCTGGCTCATCCAGTGTGGACACCGTCTAGGTTCCTTCCTATTAGCAGCATAACATTGGGGCATTTCAAAACAGCCATGTGATTACTGAGAAGGCACCCAGCATGCCCCATTTTGGCTCATCACAGGGACCTGGTGCTACCTAGTGAAAGCCCTGCTAGGCTGAGAGATATGGAAAATGTATGCACTGGCTTTTTTCACAGACAAGGGTTTGAGATGTTCCATAAAATCATAGAATTGCTCAGGTTGGAAAAGACCTTAAAGATCATTGAGTCCAACCATCACCTAGAGCCATACTACTCTAACTAACAACCCTCCTCTAAATCGTGTCCCTGAGCACCACATCCCAAAAGGTTTTTAACACATCCAGGGATGGTGACTCAACCACCTCCCTGGGGAGCCTATTGCAGTGCTTAAGAACCCTTTCTGTAAAGAAGTGTTTCCTGATATCCAACCTAAACTTACCCTGGTGCAACTTAAGCCCATTTCCTCTCATCCTGTCACCTTAAAAAATAAAATCCCGTGTTGTTGCAGAAGTGGTTTTGATTCTCTGCCACCTTTTTTTGTACAGTACTTCAGTCCGGAAGCTATTAAACTTTGCAGTTTCAAGATGAAGAGCATATTGTATGGGCAGGAATGAAATTGGGAATGCCTAATGCGTAAATTTTATTCCTGTCTATATGAAAGAGTAAAGAATCTTTCTGGTGAGGCTCATAAAGCATCCTTTTTTTTCTTTAGTTTATAAGTAACAGCTGTTTTGCAGCCTCTTCTCAGCATGCTAGACTTATACCCACTTATTTTAATTATTGCATGACGGTCATAAATTTAAACTCAGCAAGTCCCAGTGGCCACACTGTGTGGTTAGAGCTTGCAAGGGTGTTCCTCTTAGACAATGCAGTGCCTTGGGATGCTTGAATGGCCCAAAAGGAGAAATTCTGGGGCCATACATGGCAAAAAGGCAGGATTAGGACAGTATAGCTTCTTTATTTGTACTGTGTAAGCCAAACACGAGGATTGCCAAGTTCACTGTCTGGTGTTTGGGTCCCTGCCTGGTGTTGAGGAGGTTGGAGGCCAAATGAATGGGTGTCCTTATTTTCTCCACCTTTAGAAGGACTTAACCCCATCTTCTACCTTTTGATCAAGGGGTAAAATACAAGAGATTGTCTGTGCTTGTGAGCATGCCTTCCTCTAATAATGATTTAAATGTAAGTTAAGAAAAGGCTTTCTGTATGAGAATATAGTTGTCTGATCTTTCAAGGCAAGCCAAAGTTCACTCTTGGGAACTTCAGTAAGAATCCCAGAAGAGCCCAGAAAAAAATGTTGAATCCAAAGGCTTTTTTTTTTTTCTTCCTAGTACCAGCACAGAAATAATGTCTCTACATGGTGCCAGGGGACTTGGTGCTGCTATAATTGTTATGTTTTAGATGAGGTATAAAACACAGAGTTTGGCAGCTTGCAACTGTTAAACATCTTCGTCTTCTGGAAAGCTGGAAATGTTTACTTTGGCAAACATGATAAACTGCCCAATTGATAAACTGAGCAATTAATTTCCACATTTCCCTATTGAAATCCATACAGGTATGAAGAGTCCCTGGAGTGAACACACACACGTTTGTTTGGCATTGTTGCAGATTAAATTGCTGTTGTTGTTTGAGATGTACATGGAGTGTCAGGAATGCCAGGTGGTAGTGCTGGAAAGTCAGATCTGTATTTGTAGAATCATAGAATTGTTAAGGTTGGAAAAGACCACCAGGGTCATCTAGTCCAACCATAATCATCTGTAGTGGGAAAAGTGGCTTCTCTTACGAATTTATGAGCCCAATATTACTGTTGGTGGTGGAGCAATTTGGTTTTGGTGACAAAGGGTTGGGTTCTGCCTGGGAACTCATATGCCATGGATTTGAGCCTGTATTATCACTGTTCAGCAGCATAGCAGAACAGAACTTTTGTGTAGAGGTCTTCAGCAGGAGAACACTAAAATGTCTTGAAAAAGCACAGCCCTGATGGTAGAATTGGTTGCGTTGGAAGGGACCTCAAAGATCATCTAGTTCCAGCTCCCTGTTAATGCAGGCAGGATTGCCAACCACTGAATCAGGCACTGTATCAGGTTGTCCAGCACCCCATCCAACCTGGCCAAATTATCCCCCTCTTTGCATCCAAGGAATCAGAATCATCAAGGTTGGGAAATATAACTAAGATCATCTTGTCCAACTGTCAACCCGTCACCACCATGCCCACTAAATCATGGCACCATCAACAGGACCTTATGAGCTGGTTAGAAAAAACAGAGGGAAGGATGCAAGCAAGATCTTCCTTTTTTTTTTTTTCTGGTGCTATTTTACACTTGGCCATATGTTGAAAGCATTTGTAAAACACTTTAGGATCCTTTGAGAAGGAACGTGATATTCAACTGCTAGAAAATGTCACTGTTATATAGCTACTAAACATAGTGTTTTGCAAACTGCACCTCCTGGAGGAAGTTTTTTCTTCAAAAAGCTTTTTGCAACACATCCACTATATTGTCATTCTGTTCTTCTGAGAAAACAAATTGATTCTCAAAAAAAAAAAAAAAAAAAAAAAGTAAATGCAGACTGTTTTTTCAAGTGTGTTTAAATAGTTTAGGAGCTTAAATCCTTTCAGAAAGCCACAACCCAAGGAAACCTGTCCTTTACAGGGATGCTAACATTTGGCTGAATGCCTGCGATAAGCGATGGCCCAGAGCACACATGAGAAAAATGACCAAATCTTTGGGTATACATAAAGGTGGCTGGACTGTTACTAAGGCCAGCTTTAAAGCTGTGTAACATCAGTGGTTCAGCAGTGCTGTTCTGGTGCATTCTGAGAGAAAACCTGGCATCAGGAAACCAAACTCGAGACACATAACCTTTTAGCCCAAATATTTATTTCCTCCTGACCACACATTTGTAATTATTCTCTCTAGCTAAGGAACAACTGTTTCTCTGACTGAAAGCAGCCCAGTGAGATCCTGTTTCTAGATCATAGAACCATTCAGGTTAGAAAAGACCTTCGAGGTCATCAGGTCCAACCATTAACCTGACCAAATTTCATCACTAGACCATGGCCCTTACTGCTGTATCACACATCTCTTAAATACCTCTAGGGATGGGTTGCTATCACCTCCCCTGGCAGACAGTGCCTGACAAACCTCTCTGTAAAGAGATTCTTAACTGATGTCTGAACTAAATCTCCCCTGGTACAACTTGTGACTGTGCTGATTTGGAGCATTTAGATGTTTCCTGTGATTTGTAATAATACTATTAATTGATGCTAAGATAAAAGGGATGAAAGTAATCTCCTATGGAGAATGATGGAGGGACCATCCATCAGTGAGTTGAGAGCTGCCTCCTAAAATTCAGTACTGGGTGCTTTTTTGTTCCACAGTCAAAAATACAGGGATAAATATTAAAAAGAACTTCTTCCTCTCCCAGATGGTTTGTTGTTTTTTTTTTCCATCAGCTGAAATGCACTTTTAAAGTATGAGATTAAATTGAAGTATTTATTTAACATTGTAACTTATCTTTTGAAGAAAAAGATAACATCTCTCAGAAATTAATGCATTCTTTAGTTGTTTTAGTGTGTTATCTTCCATTATTTGGTCATCTGGAGGAGTTCCAGTGTAAGGAAAAGAATCT